GCGAGTAGCTCACGATGTTGCATAGACATTTGAAAAGATAGATGAGTCGAACGGTTTCTCTCGTGACCGAGTCTAAAACGTTACGGAGAAGGATCAAAGGTACCCTACTTACACTTGTCTTGTCGCAAAATTTCTCTTTTACCTTGGGCATCAATCACTGTTTTTTGAGGAATCTTTCAGAAAGTAGTTCGCCTCGTTATATCATACTCGTTCGTTATAACGAATGGATTATTCAAGCTAAATACGAGAAATAGAAATATCATAATCGTAATTCGTTATAACGATGTTATTATAGATTTATCGTAAAATAAAAGTATCAAAAGAATAACAATCAGGAATGAAACTTTTCTATATTTTCCATGAAATTACCAATCATGCTTGCAAAAGAAATATCTTTATCAATTAATATAATCATCAATTAATGTAAAGGGCTGGAATAGAAATATAATTTAACTTAATCGATTATCGCAGTCGTGTCCTGAATATTCGTTCGACTAGCTTCTTTCATGTGTAAGATCGATTCGAAATATTATGCACACGAGCTCGTACGAGGCCGTTATAAGCAGAAGCTCGTATGCAATGGCTACGTGCAGGCTGGTGTACATAATAAACGTTTTTTCTTTTCTTCGTTGGTTTAATCGACGAGCATGGTTCAAACTTAGCTCCTCGCGCGTCCTCGTCCCGCTATATTGCCTCGTCAAGCACAAATTCCGATGATGCGCAAAATGTTATTAAAGTAACTACGACTGACGAGCGAAACGAAATACCACGGTCGATGAACTATCTTCTGACACGTAATGCTACGTAGAAGTTATGAAAATTGCTTATTTTCGTAATTCTCTGTTATAAATATAGACACGCGAGAACGGTGAGATGAAATTTTCATTATTCCGCCGCGCCGTTTACATAATAGGGAAGAAAAATTCAATATTTTTTTGTTATATTTTCAGAGAGATCACCAACATCGATAAATCCACCAAGAAGACTGGTAGCAAACGGTCGTGGTAGTCAACAGAATCGTGTCAATAGTTTCGACACCAAGAAGAACTGCGTAGAAATTTCGCCTATCAATCTCGGTGAGTGATGGAGGGTCCGGTTTGCGCGCCCTAAATTGTGAAACGAGTTTGCATATATCGTAGTTTCCTTGTGTTCGTGTGTATGTATGTGTATACATTTATATCTGCTGCTTCTCTGATTGAACGGAGGAAACGAAAGGTCGAGGGCACCGCTGCGTGCTTCCGGTTGGAGAGTTAGTGCGACGCGGGGAATACTTTTCTTCTTTTTTTTTTTTTTTTCGATCGC